AGGAAATTTAGAGTAATTGTTGAAATTGAATTCTGTAAAAGTTTCTGTTTACTTCTTTGGTTATGAATATTCAATATGAAGTTTCACTTTCCTCTTTCTCTGTTATTTATTTATTTTTATTTAGAAAACAATACGCAATCTAGTCTGCGCCTGAATGTCATCAATTGAGATACATCTCTAGTGATACAACATACAAGTACTTCATTATTGTGATAATAACAACAATCAATCAGCCGCAATGAACCCCGTTATACAGCATTACCCCTTGCTACAAACACTCGGCTTAAAGGACACAGTCTTCTTCTCCAAATCATACCCCACCAAGAAATCCATCTGAGCCAAATTACCGTAAATCGCGTAACTACTTGCCGGTGCAAAAGCAAGGCACAACGACACCTGGCTCGTCTTAACAAAACTGTTTACGGATTTCAACTTCACGTCGGCCCCTTTGAAGTGTACCGTGATTTCTGGAACAACCTTTGAAATTTCGTCCCCCATCGACATGTAGCACAACTTCAACAACCCTTGAGGGTCGCTAATCTCCTTCAATGCCATCTGGCTCTTCACAGCTGTCACGACCCTAGAGTAGAGCTCGATCGGGAGAAAAGTCAATGTCGTCCCTGAGTCTATGATTATATTCCCCTCCTCGGATTCCTTACCATCATAATCATCAGCCAAAACCAAATTCAATCTTTGTTCCCCTACTGTGACACCTTCCAAAGTCAAGAAATAGAAAGTGCTCGGACTTTTCGTAGCTATAGGAGTCGAGACCATCCCATCGCCAGAGACAATCCCACTTTCCCCGAAATTCATCTTGCTCGGCCTCGACTCCTCCCCAAGAAAGGGCACGAGGCAATACGAGAATTTACCCCGAATCATATTCCCCATTTGGGTCGTCAACGAGACCTTCCCTCCCCCGAGGCCCACGATACCCGACGAGCCCACCCCAAAAGTGCCCTCGTCCAAGTGGCCGCACCCGATGGTCACGTTGTGTATCGGCACACTTTTCCCGTCGCTCGAGCCCAGCGTGACAGTCTCGACTGCCACGTCACCTTTGCTGTACGACCTGTCCCCGTACGTTATCGTGTACCCGCACGTGTCGTTCGAGCCCTGGCACGAAGTCCTCGGGAGAGCGTTGCAGTGTGGGGAGGAGCAGAGGAGAGGCTTGTAGGAGGAGGATTTTGTCGGGTCGAAAATGGGGGATTTTTGTTTGAAGCACTTGACGCAGGGTTCACACTGGACCCACGTGAGGTCACTGCCTGTGTCGGCGATGGCCAGGGTCTCGACACCTGGCGTGCCGAGGGTGAATTTCATGAGGTACTCGCCTCTGTCGGAGATGATGTCAGCAGAGGGCAAGTTGGGTCGGGCGAGGAGGTTGTTGGCATGGTCGAACGATCTTAGGATCGCGTTCTTGATGCGTTCGGAGGAATAGTAGAGGGATGGGGAGTGTAGAGAATCTCTATGTATAAGATCGATGGTAAAACCGGTTGCTTGAGTTGTTTGGAATTTGGTCATGAACATTACAAGGAAGGCTAGAGCAACACAATGTAGGGAAATTGGAAGGGATTTCATGGTTGTATGGAAAAACAAAAAAAAAAAGGAATAACTAAAGGTCCTAGTGGTGCAAACAATGTTGTTTAGGTGATTGGGTGACAAAGGAGTGTGGATTATGTCATATTTATACACAAGTTTATGATGTTTTTCCAAATGAAAAATCATTTAATGAGGGAGGGGACTAAGATATTGTTGAGGGATTATGGATTTTCCTTGCATAAATGACAGACATTTTCGTTTTTGCATTTTTCAGAGCACCATTATTGAAAATTCCCAAGAATAAGTAAATAAAGGTGTAGCATTAATTGCTTGAACGAACTTGGAGGAATCACTTGAAAAAGGTTGATGGGGATAAAAGATTGTCAAGTCTTATGTGTCGACGGTATAGGAACAATTCGCGATGAACAAAAAATGTTGGCCTCATGATTTGGAAGAAAATATAGAGAATGACGAGAATTTTGTAGAGCTTAGTTTCGTCTTCTATTTTCACATTTATGAGACTAGTAAAGTGCACGTGCAATGCACGTGGTGATGAATGGTTTTTTACTATTAAGTTTAGTAAAATAAATTAGTTAATTTATTAAACAAATCACTGCAAAAACGAAATAAAATATAGAACAAATAAGCTTCTAATGTATTTTATTTTTAAATAATATAATGATGTCCTAATAAAAAAATAAAATAACATATTACAATCCCAAAAAAATATAGTCCCCTAATGGGCATAAAACACTAAGTAACTAAATAAGGATCTAATGTATATTATAGATGCATTAGTTCTTTTATTTAATTATGTTAGATGGTTCAAGAGTGATTTTATTTCATTTTGGTTTTGACGTTTTTGTAAGAAGCATTCATACTCGTTGGAGCTTAGTACATTAATAGTATTACAAAATTCTTCTTAATTCATTCGGCAAAACGTCTACTTTATGGAAACACTTATAAATATTCTAGCTAAAATTGTTAGTATTTTAATTACTTTATGAAATCATTATATTACATGAAAGTATGTACTCTAAAGTAATTGCACATATGTTCAAGTACAATACACAATGAGATTGTAATATTCCTATCAAAAAGTGACAATTTCATTCAAACATTAAAGAATGTTTTGATCATGCTCTCAAATTTTCTTTTCAATGTGAAGACAGGCGAACTATATAATTTACTGTTTGCAAATCACTGATCATCTTGGTTGTTGTAATGATTTTAGAGTTGTTTATCATAATATTTTTCACATTCATTTGGATTTGAAAACTTATATGCCTAGTAACTTTTTTAATGCTTTTATTGTACAATTTTTTTGCGTCATTCATAATGTTTCGAAAATTCAAGATAAAGAACTCTTATTGACTCTTCGACAATGCGGAATAAAACAAAACAATTAGACAATATTAAGAAACATATTATTTGTTAAAATAAATGAGAGAATAAAAATTAGAATTCTGTTATATTACGATACTCTAAGTCATCTCCGAACTTTATTATCACGAAGTTATTATTAAATCTAAATTATCTATTACAAAGTTTTTATTTTTTTAATATTTAAAATTCTTGATAATATAAGATCATTATTTATGAAAACAAATTTCTTACAGAGTTCATATATATTTAAACGCTAGCAAAAAAAAGTTGTAATTTTAGAAGACTTTTGTTTTTAGAATTGATATTCATATTTCTCTAAGAAAATTCGGACTTCTTATTTCCCTATTCCATGACTATTGTTTTATTTGTTTTTTATTCTATTCACAAATAATATTTATTTGTTAAAAGAATTCGAGCACATTTATATGTATCGCATTATTTTTTTGTACGTATATTATATAACGATGTTGTTATCGGAATATATTATATATTATGCTACGACTAATATAATCACATACAATAAATTCTCTTAATATTACTTATTTATTTAGTTATAATAATAATAATATATTTGATAAAAATGTATTTTTATACTGTTATAAGATTAGAAATTTTAGGGTTTTTTTCATTGTTTGATAAAATATTAAATAACTAACTCATTTTCATATTCATTGAAAATATATGTTACAATCATTGTGTTCTCTTTCCCTTTTATGCAGCAATTGAATAATTGTTTAAAATACAATTCATTTATTTATTTTTTTAATTCACATAGTTAATTTTGGTAATGACTGTAATTTATATCTATTTTGTAATTTTTTCTTATTTGTATGAATATTCCAAATCTACGTAAGAAAAATATAACACAAGTTTATTGTATGTCTTTTTTTTTTATACGTAATAAAATTGGTTTAACATGAATTTATAATTATTTTATAAGATACATTTAGGTCCATTTATTATTCTAAATTAGTATATATATATATATATATGTGTGTGTGTGTGTGTGTGTGTGTGTGTGTGTGTGTGTGTGTGTGTGCGCCGCGCGTGTGTGTGTGTTATTTTTTATCGGTAGAAATAAGTATACTATTTTTATTTTATTTTTACAATACATTTGTCAAATTAAACATCATCGAGAAAAATGATGTAATGTATATGTATAAAAAGGGTAACAAATAAAAAAAATATTAAGTATTTCAAAACAGAAAAATGTAATGGTATAAAGTAACCAAATTTGTAACTAAAAAAATTAAGACTAATATACCTATTTTTATTGCCAAAAATATATATATATTTATGTATTTAAAAGTTGTAGTTAAAATAAATGTGTATCTTAAGTATGTTTTATATTTCTCATTAGTCAGTTCTAAATAATATAGGACATTAACTAATTTTATCACTATACTTTCTTAATGTGTAGTCTTACCATTTTATTACATAGAACATCATTCTTACCCTTCGTTTAGTTAATATAATACTAACAAAGTAATTAAAGATTTTTCCACCTAGATGTATCTTGTATGTTTTGAAAAAAATAATAATTATCATACATTAAATGATAATTACATTAAATGTGTTATATTCTTAACAACTTTCATAATAACGTTGCACACAATATTATATATAATTCAAATTTTTTAATTGATTTGGAGTATTACTTTTGCTACAAAAAAACTGATGAAATTTCAATGAAAAATTCAACGAAAATATATTACAGTAGAATTTCAACGACAATCTAACAAATATTTCGATGTTATTACTCCCGCTAGAACTTTCCAATGAAAAGTTCTAAAAATATTTTGTTGGAATCAATGACAGATCCTATGTTTATTTAATAGGCTCGACACATGCCTCCATCCCAAAATATATAGGATAATGATCTATTAAAAATTGTGGGAACATTTTTCATAATTTTAATCATGTAATAAGAACAAAAGATTAAAAAGCGTTGGACAGTTTGACTCGTTTACATCGTTAAATACAAGCTTTAAAAGTTTTATATTTAACTTTATTAATTATAACTTTCTATTTATTACGTTTTTTCCGTATATATAAATAAGTGTTACAACTTAATTATAATTTTAATATTATTTATCATATTTAATTTTTTTTACTTTATAGTTATTTATAAGTAAGTGTTACAACTTAATAATATTAACTTTTAGATTTCTTAAAAATACATAAACTTAAGTATAGAGATTTTTGGTTCATATGTCTTATTATATATCAATTAATTGTATATCTTTATTATAATATACATAATATATAATTACAATTTCCTCATTAATATTATACTCAAATATATAAATTTTTTATTTCGTACATTATTTTGTTAAGAAAAAAACTGTTTTCTTATAAGAATACAAACTAATAGATAGATAGATAATGATAATATATCGATATACTTTTTTTGTAAAAATTAATTAACTTTCAGTGTATATAGGCATACAGAAATTCTATGGAACCATCGGATTGCTCGGTTATGAAGCCACCCATAACTTTATGTATTGCAGGACACGTGTCAATACACCATTTGTGGATAACTATGGATGACTCCATAATCCGAGCCATCCGATGACTCCATAATCCGAGCCATCTGATGACTCCATAACAAAATCGGCTAGGCATATCATGGTTCTCGGGATATTCTTAATTAATTTATAAATAATCATACGATCAAAATTAAATCATGTTGCTCAAATGATATCCCACTCGACTTGAAAACAAATGGATTGAGCTTTAGTATTATAAAATTTCATAAAATTATTCTAATATAATTTTAAGCAACGAAATTGAGTAGATTATAATTTTAGGTTGTAAAACAATCATTCAGCAGTTAATCTCTCATACTATTACACAATTTATTTATTTTGAAAAATAATGTTTTTATATTTTGTGATCGTTATGAGAACAAACAATATACCGATGTCAATTTTTTCATTTAGACGTATTAATAAACTTAAAAATTGAATAAATATTACTGAATCGGTTATCTTATTTGATATGATACTTATGGTCAAATAAACTTTCAATTTTTATTGAAAAATCCATAAAATCATCTAAAAATCTTAAGATAATATCAATAAATAAGATATTCAATATATATAATTTTCTAATTCTTATTGTATCTTCTTTGTTTCAAGTATTTTTTTTTCTTTTAATCTATACTATTATAAAAGAGCCAATAAAAACTCTTTTAATGATACCAACTTCAAATCCCATTTTCAAACCATCGTCCCTTGCAACTATCACTATGAAAGTACTCCTAAATATTATTGAGCACAAGGAAATAATATAATTTAAATAGATATCAGTCTCTTCTAGAAAAAATATTTAGGTTCATGTGAAGTAGAGTAATATACATTCAGATAAAGCTTATTGTAACCCCAACCAATCACTTGGTAACCACCACCGTGAAGACGGCCGGCCCGTTATCTTCTAGAAAAAATATTTAGGTTCATGTGAAGTAAAGTAATATACATTCAGATAAAGCTTATTGTAACCCCAACCAAAACCAATCACTTGGTAACCACCACCCTGAAGACGGCCGGTCCATTTAATATTTGTTGCTATTTATCTGTCTCGGTCACACATTAGTATGACTAAGAAGCACGGCTGTTACAACAATGGCATTAAAATAAATCATTCCACGCGTGTGGTCTTCATCTCCATGAGGTTGGACCGTGTCGTGGCATCCGATTACTGTGCATACATATTCAAATTGCCCATTCCTGGAGTTGAATCGTCCTAAAAATGGACTCTCGGTAGAGCACGGTTATTATAGCATGGGTTAATACTACAACTATGCCATTACAAAGATGACAAAGTAAGGATATTTTAGGCATTATATATTTTTACAGATTCATTGGCTCTATTATAACAACAACAACAAAAAAAAAAAAAAAAACTTTATTCTCAGCCTCTATAGATAAATACCGACAAAAGTTATATTCTTCTCATCACAAACATAGAGTATATAAGGTTTCTTTCTTCTATTCCATAACATATCTGAGTAAGAGAGGTTAGCAATTATTTTGAGAGCGCAAATGACTAAATTAAGTTAAAAAAGAAGAAGAAAATCCAAAAGAAAAGCAAAACATACCATTGAGATTCTATTAAATCAACCTAACAAATTCTAAAAGAAGCAGTCAAGCAGAACATTCCATTGAGATAGATAATGACACATTAATATATGGCAATAATGACAAACTAATTCGTGTAAGTAATAAAAATAAGAGTGTCTGATCCTATGTAAGATTTAACAAAATTCAACTCATTACCTTTTATATAAACACAATCATAAAAAAAATCCACATTCTATAGTAAATGAAACTATACAAGAAATGTAAGGCCATTTGCAATCGTTTACTTCCCAGTTGATCAAACTAAAAAGCCAAACATATCTGATCAGTCACTACCAGACAATGACCAAAAAGGAAATTAGCAGCAAACTTAAATCATTAATCTCCCACAAAAGCCAGAGCTCAGATATAGTCTCGAAAGTCATCTTCGGGAATTTTTTGGGCAGGAAATTCGATATACACACAAACATGGGTGGGATTGTGTAATTATATAAACCACTATTGTAACATAAAAGGGTGTAACTATCTTCCCTTCTCTTCCCTCTTTCATCAAATTCAGGTTGGTGACAATTTATGAAATATGAAATCTAACAGCAACAGATAAATTATAGAAGCAGCAAAAGTGAAAGACAGTAAATAAAATCAACACACAATTAAGTACCCTAACACCATAGAAACGTGAGCATACCGGAATTTTTTGGGGGTTGACCTTCTTTGATCCCTGGCCGATTTTCTTGACTTGATATAATTTTTTATTTATTTATTTGAATAAACGAAGGATCTAAGTACCTAATCAAACATAAATACATAACTTAGCCAACAAATTACAAACAGATCCATTACCTGTGCCAAAAGAAGGAAAAAAAAATATTCCCTGTAGATTCAACATCTAACAGTGTTGTAAGAAATCAGAATCCTCAAGACATTAAGAAGCTACAATCAAGAAAACCGACCACATCCAAATATACAAAGAAAATTCGTATATAAACTTACCAGTTAAATTCTTTAAATTCCCAAAATAGTGATTGGTCAGAAACTAAATAGTTCAACACTTCAACTCGCGTGGAGAGGATATTCGATTGATCGACGGAGGACACGTTGGTGGGGCTGGGCTGGAGGACGCGTTGGCGGGGCTGGGCTGGGCTTATTTGACCTTGTCCGATTTTTTCTTCGATCCTGTCCGATTTTGTTTTCATAGAGAGAAGGACGTAGGTAAATCAATAAGCAGTTGGTTTAGGAATGTATTATTAATATTAAATTGCAAAATTAATTTGATAAAGTAAGGTTAATTTAGGCAAAACATAATTTTACAGATTCATTGGCTCTTTTAGAATAGTAGAGATAGAGAAGAGATAGAGATAGAGATAGAGATAGAGATAGAGATAGAGATAGAGAAGAGATTTGAGAAGGTAGTCTTTGGCTTGACTGCCAGATACCTTTCGTAAATCTTTCGGTTATTATATTCAATTTAGACCATTTATTTATTCAAGTACAAAGATACAATGAAGGAAATGCATTTGTATTCTTCATGTACTTGTTTTTACTTTAAATTATATTAAAAAAAATATTCGATTATATGGAAATTAAATTAATGAGAACTCTTTTTCCTCATAAAAATCTATTCTCCATCATGTTGAATACTAATGCGATGTGTTGGATTATTTTACATTGTATGTAATACGATGCATCATGTTGCACATATTCGTAGTTTCTTATAAAATACACATATTATTCACAACCAAGACAAAAAGTGAAACTTTTGTGAATGGTTGTTGTATATTTTTAGAATTAGTTAATCTTGACTAATACATTATACAAGTACACTATGATTGTATTAAATAGGATCACATCGATTAGTTCATTTTAAACTTAGTAAATGATCTTCACGTCATTTATTGATCGTACTCTGAGTAGTGATCTCCATTTTAGCAGATATTACACCTCTTAAACGCATAATCTACAACACTAAACTTCAACTGAAAACAAGCCCAAGAAAAGAAAAGACAGCCACATCAACAACTCCACTAGCAGCCCTCAGTGTTCAACCCCATCAGCCTCAGCTCACTCCCAAACTCCTTAACAGCTCCCACCAAGACACAAAATAGCACAAAACCTGACAAACTTAGCACAACAACCTCCAAAATACTAGAACAACCACCCCATCTGTACTAAAACCACCAAACATAAGCAAGTAAGCTAAAGAGAATAGCTACTGGACACTAAAGGAACCTAGTTGTTCAAATTAGCTACCTAACACAGTAGTCACCAAATTCCAACCACTCTTTTAGAGAAATATCCACCACATCCTTTACTGTCCTTAAGATATTTTGAAACACCCATTGGTTTCTAGATGTCTAGATCTACCAAAGAATATAAAATGTCAATTGGATTCTAGAATCAGAGTTAGAGCACTGTTTCATTGAGCATAGTTTGTTCCACCATCCCTTGAAGTTTCTAGTTTCCTACTCCAAGCCATCCTAAGATAGAGGTGATGAAGCCCACACCAACTTTGCTCTAGCACACTGAAAGAACAGATGCTCTAAAGATTCAGGTGCCCCTCCACAAGCTTTACAGATACGGTCAATTTGGACTCCTTTTTTCAATAAGATTACAATTAACTGGAATTAGATTCGAATAGCATTTCCAGATGAAGTGCTTCAGTTTACCCTTAATCTTCAAAGCCCAGCTCCTCCTTCTTACTTTCCTTGCAATCAACTGCTCTTCGCTACTGTCTGCTTGGATGAGCTTGTTGTAAGTTGAAGAAACTATGAATTCACCCTTTGAGCTACAATCCCAAATAATTTGTCCTTGGATGAGGAGTCTAGGCAGTTGATGTTCAGGATAGTTTCCTTTTCCTTTCAAGGAAAAGCTTCTTTAGTAATTCCTTGTTCCATCCCCTTCCTGCGCAGTCCATCAGATCCACCACATATTTGATCTCTGAACTTCTTTGAGGCTAAGGTGATGGTCTGAAATCAGGCAGAAATGTGATCCAAGGATACTTCCAGACTTCGACTGTTTTTCCATTCTTAACATCATACCTCAGCCCTTTTTGCAATGTCTCCTTTGCAGTCACCCAACTTTTACAAATCCAAGATCCAAAATGTGAATTTTGGGCAGTGAGGATTGATCCCTTTGGAAAGTATTTGGCTTTTAGGATTTTGCTCACTAACAAGTTTGGCTCGGTGAAGATTCTCCAAATCTGCTTTGTGATGATGGCTTTATTCAGTAGGTGGATATCTTTGAAGTTCAGCACCCAGCTCCTTAGGCACTGCAAGATTACTCCAAGCTTTCCAGAAAATTCCTTTCTTCTTGGGGTCAGCAGAATTCCACTAGAAGGACGCAAAGATTTGTGACAATTAGGCAAAAAGAAGCAGAACATCACATAGATCGGTAAGGCACCTAACAGAGCTTTCAACAGGACTTCTTTCCCTACACTAGACAAAAAACTATTTTTCCAATTCTGGTTTCTTTTTTTAACATTTTTAACCACAAAACAAAAAGTCTCAATTTTGGATTTTCCAATTCTCAATGGCAAACCCAAGTACCTAGAAGAATAGTGATGAGAGATTCGTAAGAGAGAGAGAGTCTGGCATGATTGGAATGAAATTTCGTAGGAATGAAATGAATTGAAAAATGGAATGATTATGGGAATGGAATGAAACATGTTTTGTCATTGATGCATTTTGTATGCAGAAGGAATAGGACTGAAACGGAATGACATTATTATTTTTTATTATAAAAATAAATAAAAGATTTTTTTAAAAAAGAATATACTTTTAATAAATTATATATAAATGTTTTTTTAATAATATATAAAAATAAAATAATATATTTTTAATAAAATATTTTGATTAATATATATAAATAGAATACTATATTATTTAATAATACAAAAATAATATATTTTTAATAATATATATAAATAAAATAATATATTTTTACATTATATATAAAAAATAATATATTCTTAAAAGTAATATATTTTTAATATATAAAAAATAATATATTTTTAATAATATTTAAAAATAAAGTAATATATTTTAATAATATATATTATATTTTTTAATTAAACAGTAAATAAAAGTAAGTTTTCAATTTTTATTTGAATTTTACTTTCTAAAATAATATGTTTTTAATAATATTTAAAAATAAAGTAATATATTCTTAAAAGTAACATATTTTTAACATATAAAAAATAATATATTTTTAAAAGCAATATATTTTTAATATATAAAAAATAATATATTTTAAATAATATATAAAATAAAATAATATATTTTTAAATTATATATAAATACTTTTTTTAGTTTTATTTTTATATAAGTATTTTAATATATCTAATAAAAAAATAAATAAAAGTAATTTTTTATTTTTTTTATTTGAATTTTTTTTAAAATAATTTTATTTAATATATTTTAATCATGATTTATAATATATATTATATATTTATTTATTATTATTATTTGTTAATTTTATTTTTTGAAAAATTGATTCCTATACACATGGGAATGAGAAAACCTTCCATTTACTATGGAATGGCTAATCCCATGAAGATGGGTTTTGCCATTCCAATTGGAATGGTCATTCCTTCCCAAAAAATATACCAATCATGGGATAAGGAATGAGTAAGAGAATGATCATTCCATTCTCATGTCATTCTTTCCTACTAATTATGCCAGTAGAGTTTTAGTGGATTTATTAGTATTTCTACTAAAGAAAATTGAGGACTTCTGCAAATTGAGAGTTTGACCAGTGAAATTATGAAATTGAGAGAGCATATCTAGCAAGATTGGCCTGACTGAACTCATGGGAAACTGCAGAACTACCAAAACCAAAACGACTCTGACACATACTATTGGATGCCATCATTGGCATGAAGCTCTGTTGCCCGTCCGTGTGAGAGTAATTTATTTTTCAAATAGCTCTGCGATATGGTCAGTGGATTTGATTATCATCTCCGTAACTCGAGGACTTCCCTCAAATGTGGCCCACAATATGTAATCAAAATTACAAGGATCAGCCTTTAGCATGAGCACGAGAAACCACTTTAGAATACATTTGTTGGCCACAATTTATTCTCACCAGCTCTGCAACACAACCAACATAGTTACCTAGATAAAACACCGCCATAGTGCATGCTTACTCTAACACGATTGCTACTCATTGAAGTGTAATTTTTAAAAGGAAGAAAAGTAAGAGCTAAATAAGTTTTAAAAAAAATGCAGTAGATATGGGGACTTAAAACTTGAACAAACAGAAATGCAGTAGAGTGCAGACATGAAGAAGAAATAGTGGAATTAAATGGTGGTAAATGAAGCAGAAAGGGGAAGAATTAAATGGTAGTAAATGTTGTCACTAAGAAGAAGAATATATGCTAAATGGTAGTAAGATTTCTGACAAAAAAATTCACATCCTGGGTGTCTAATTTACGTGAAAAAGGAAGTCGATCAATGCAATACCTAACTATTCAAATAATATGTGAAATATTTTCGGCGGATATATGATTCGTGATATGGATCGACAGGAAGATGGTGGGTGATGGGTCTACTTCCAGATCTGGAGTGAACCGGTGGTTGTGAGCTCCAATCTGTCTGAATCGCCTCCGAACCGCTTCTAGATTGCTGCAAACACCTGCAAGAACCCAACGCCGGGAGAGGTCCCGGCGTCAGGCCTCCGACGCTCAAGTCAGTAAATAGAGGAGAGGAAGATGAAGCTCTATAATGTAGAGTTGTAATGCATGTAGAAATGCATAGAATGTGGGGGAGAGAGCAGCAGCAGCAGAGAGATGGAAAGTGTATAGAATGAGTAGAGGTTAGGGTTTATGGTTACCTCAGCCCCTTTATATAGAGGGAACTACCTGCTTGAAGTACCCAAAATGTCCCGGTCGATTTACCTGAAGTGTCCAAAATACCCTGGACGGTTCGCATTCCATCTACCTCCTAGTCAGCTCAAGATTCTTTATTATCCAATTATTGCCTCTAGATCATGCTCTTGTAGTCACAGAGATGTCCACTAGCGGAGACCTCTAGTCACGGAGACGTCTAGTAAAGAAGACGTCTAGTAGCGGAGACCTCTAGTCATGGAGACGTCTAGTAGAGAAGACGTCTAATAGCAGAGAGGTCTAGTAGCGGAGAGGTCTAGTAGCGGAGACCTCTAGTTACAGAGACGTCTAGTAGAGAAGACGTCTAGTAAGTCGAGATGACCTCTACCAGGTCTAGTAGGTCGAGATGACCTCTGGCAAGTCTAGCAGGGACGAGATGATCTCTCGCAAGTCTAGTAGGTCGAGATAACCTCTTGCAAGTCTAGCAAGTCAAGATGACCTCTAGCAGGTCTAGCAGGTCGAGACGAGTCTAGCAAGTCGAGATGACCTATAGCAGGTCTAGTAGGTCGAAATGACCTCTTGCAAGTCTAGCAAGTCAATATGACCTCTAGCAGGTCGAGACGAGTCTAGCAAGTCGAGATGACCTCTAGCAGGTCTAGTAGGTCGAGATGACCTCTACTTATCATCTTAGAGCAGCTCGACCTTCTCATACTTAGTCATAGAGAGCATGTCTACTTCCCATACTTAGTCGTGTGGAGCTTCTCATACTCAGTCACATAGAGTATGTCTACTTCCCATACTTAGTCATGTGGACCTTCTCATACTCAGTCATAGAGAACATGTCTACTTCCCATACTTAGTCGTGTGGAGCTTCTCATACTCAGTCACAGAGAGTATGTCTACTTCCCATACTTAGTCATGTGGAGCTTCTCATACTCAGTCACAGAGAGCATGTCTACTTCTCATACTTAGTCGTGTGGACCTTCTCATACTCAGTCACAGAGAGTATGTCTACTTCCCATACTTAGTCATGTGGACCTTCTCATACACAGTCATAGAGAGCATGTCTACTTCTCATACTTAGTCGTGTGGAGCTTCGTATACTCAGTCACAGAGAGCATGTCTACTTCCCATACTTAGTCGTGTGGAGCTTCTCATACTCAGTCACCGAGCCTTCAAGTTTCGTCTAGAGCTCCTCAGGCTACTCTTTCTCAGTTTCGCTCGGACCTCTCCATACTTGATTCCAGTTCACAAGTGTGGTTATATCATCTAGTCCCCCCCAAAAATTACTCTACTGCAACTCGAGTTGTAGAGTAAGGTTCATAGTCTGGAAATTCTGGCATTTATCAGAGTTTGCATTATTTGAAATAATGTTTTTGTCGCTTCGTAATCCTTACTCCATTTTTATTTGTAGACTTGATTCTGGTGTAAGGAATCGAAATCGTTGGGCTGTCGCACGTATATGCCTTGTTTCCACTCATGGGATTGTTCAAAATGATTAGTTTCCCTTGGCCCAACTAACATAGGCCCAGTTTAATGCTCCACACTTGTTTTTCTTTTCTCTTCTCGTCTTCACGATAAATCTCCCTTTCAATTTTATCTTTGAGAGTCGCATTCAAATTCACACTCTTCTCGCGATTTCCTTCTCGTCTTCAACACAAATCGGTCGAGTTATCTTGAGAGTCAACTTTTCTGAATTTGCTCTCCCCAGCGATTTTCTTCCCCCGATTTTCTTGTTCAGTCGTAAATAGTTGCTCGACGCCGGTTTTCTCCTCGACTTTCGCGATTTTCTTCACTCGCGTATTCTCAAATGCACTTTTGGGCATATTAGTCGACCTGGGTAGAATAAATCGATTCCTCACTCCCAATTTCTCAAGCTCTCGATCTCTCACGATGTGCCTCGAATTTTCCGGCTCGCCTTTCTTTCAGCTCGCAATTTTCTTCCCAACTTGTGATCAGGCTTCAAATCGAGCTTGTACTTGCGATTTCACTCACGGATTTCTTCTCGACTCGCGATTGCGATTTCATCCACAAATTGCTTCTTAATTCGCGATGTATGGGTCATGATTTCACTCACGAATTTCTTCCCAATTCGCGATTCTCATGTTTTCAATCGTGGTTTCCTTCCAGCTCGCCCATCTCGTGATGTCCTTCTAATCCTCGTCGCGCGAGTCAAGATCTGCTATTGCTCGTCATCTTCCCCTGGTCGAGATTTTTGAACTCATCTTCTCCACAACCCTTCTTGTGAGCTGGTCGAAGTCGAGCAACAATTTGAACAGCTTCGTAGCTGTGAAACGTTAAGTTTTTGAACTCGTCTTCTCCCAACCCTTCTTGCGAGCTGGTTGAAGTCGAGCAACAATTTGAACAGCTTCGTAGCTGTGTCGATTTTCGTTGCCTAGATGTGTACTAAAGTTGGTTGTTCGAAATTTCTCGCTTCGCCTACATGCGTAATTGGTTGTATTGATGTCCTGATTGTGGTATTTGTGACTGGCTCGAGATTCCACTTGAGGGTTCCAATTGTTAAGGTTATGTTAGTCGACTGCGTAGTCGAAGGCTTGTAGCCTGCTCGAGATTCCGCTCGAGAGTTCACAACTTCGTAGTTGTGTTAGTTGACTTCGTAGTCGAAGGCTTCGTAGCCTGCTCGAGATTCTGCTCGAGAGTTCACGACTTCGTAGTTGTGTTAGTCGACTTCGTAGTCGAAGGCTTCGTAGCCTGCTCGAGATTCCGCTCGAGAGTTCACGACTTCGTAGTTGTGTTAGTCGACTTCGTAGTCGAAGGCTTCGTAGCCTGCTCGAGATTCCACTCGAGAATTTACAACTTCGTAGTTGTGTTGGTCGACTTCGTAGTCGAAGGCTTCGTAGCCTGCTCGAGATTCCACTCGAGAATTTACAACTTCGTAGTTGTGTTAGTCGACTTCATAGTCGTAGACTTCATAGCCTGCTCGAGATTCCACTCGAGAATTTACAACTTCGTAGTCGAAGGCTTCGTAGCCTGCTCGAGATTCCACTCGAGAATTTACAACTTCGTAGTTGTGTTAATCGTTTTCATAATCGTTGCAGAGTTAGTCGGCTTCATAGTCGTTTTGAAAAATTTGATTTTTCATGCAATCATAATGAAGTCGACTTGTAAACATAAGAAACATAATTGAAGTGTAAACTTTAAGATTTATTTCATCTTTGAATTCAATTCAGACATTGTTTAGTACAAAAAGTAATTCGAAGTATTGCCTTAAGCGTAAAAGTGTTTGAGATGAATCACGTGCCAGGATCGCGGGAGTTGTCGACCTTCTCCGTCCTCGAGTTCATATGCGCCCCTCTCGAGCACCTTTGTGATGGTGTAGGGCCCTTCCCAGTTAGCTTCGAGCTTGCCGACATGTTTGAGAGCGTCGGCTCGTTTGAGAACGAGGTCCCTGATAGCCACATAAGGATAAACCGGTCCAGAGGATGTTTACTCGACCGGTGAACCGCGTGAACAATTTGCATGTCGACATGCCTCCGTCGACATACTCAAATCGGCTTCCCAAAGGTCGATTCGACTAAGAGCAATCAAGAAAAGGCAGAAATCGGTCTAGTCGACTTTCGTAAGACGACCTTAATCTATCGACTTCTTCTAGTCGACATCAATGGAAGAAGAACATCAAGAACGTGATTCCCAAGCATTTGGATACCCTAGGCAGACTTCCACTAGTCGACTTCACGGTGACGACTCTCTGAAGACGACTTCACCATAGAAGGTTAAACCAAGCGTAGCCTCTGAACCGCTCATATTCATAAGTCGACCCCTTAGCTCTAGATGTCGACTCTGTACACCTCGAGGATCAAAATGGTGAGGACGATTCGCCACACTTGTAACATATCCAAAGTCTTACACACTACAAGGAATAAGAAGGAATCTTGTGATGACTCAGCATCAAGGGGAGGCGAATCGACCAGGGCATTTTGGACCTTCTAGGTCCACCGACTTGGGCATTTTGGGCATTTCAGGTAAGTATTCACTCCTATATAAAGGAGGTGAGGTAACCCCAAACCCTAACTATCATTCATTCACTCTCCCCCATAGCTGCTGCGCAGCCTCTCTTCATCACTCACATACTGACTTGAGCGTCGGAGCCTCTACGCCGGAAATATCTCCGGCGTTGAGTTTTTGCAGGTATTCTCGCGGTCTAGCAACGGTTCGAAGGCGATTCAAACAGATCTGAGCTCTTTATCACCGGTTCTCTTCAGATCTGGAAGTAGACTCATCAGTCCCCCACTTGGAATCGTCTGGTTCGGACCTTCTTGTCGAAGGCTGCTCGCATCTTCTGTTTGTACTCGACGGACCGTACCCAGGCTTCTTCTCGTCCCTCTTCAATTAAGTCGAGGGCTTCTTCTATCATCTCTTCGTTTTTCTTTTCTTCGTAGAACTTCGATCTGTGGGAGTCGAGGCCGACTTCAATAGGCAGTAGTGCATCCATCCCATAAACCATGTGAAATGGGGATTGTCCCGTCGAACTTCTTGGAGTCGTCCTATAAGCCCATAGGACTGCTGTCAACTCGTCGACCCAAGCTCCTGACACTTTTTCCAGTCTTTTCTTTAACCCTTGGAGGATAGTTCGATTAGTGACTTCAACTTGCCCATTTGCTTGTGGATGTGCGACTGACGCAAATCTCTGTCTGATTCCCATGTCGAGCCACCATGCTTGGATCCGTTTTCCTTGGAATTGAGTTTCATTTTCTGAGATTAATACTTTCGAAATTCCAAATCGACAGCAGATATTGTTGAACAAGAATTGTATCATCTTTTCTTCAGTGATTCGCGCCAAGGGTTCCGCCTCGACCCACTTGCTGAAATAGTCGACTGCGACCACCAAGAATTTTCTTTGTCCCGTCCCCATCGGCAATGGACCTACCAAGTCGATTCTCCATTAAGCAAAGGGAATTGGAGAGTTGATAGTCGTCATGCATTCAGCGGGGATATGAGTAATTTGGCCATGGCGCTGGCACTTCTCGCATTTCTGGACTAACTGTTCGGCCGCTGCTCGAATTTTGGGCCAATAGTAGCCTGCTCGCAGAGCTTTCCCAGTCAAAGCTCGAGACCCCATATGCGCCCCGCAACACCCTTCATGGATTTCTCTTAACACGTGGATTCCTTCTTCTTCTGAGACACATCGTAAATGGGGCCCAACCAACGACTTCTTGTATAGGACCCCGTCGACTTCGAAGTACTTGTTCAGATATCGGGCCATCTTTTCCGCTTCTTGTTTATCTCCTGCAGGGACCCGATCCTGCAAGAGTTCGCGAATCGACTTCCTCCAGTCGTCCTTCTCATCGACTTCCATGGTTACGTTAAGAACACTTCCCTCGAGGTGCATCGTAGTGATGCGATTTCCCACTTGTCCCTCATTCGAGCTCGTAATCCTAGCGAGCCAGTCGGCTCGTTTGTTCTCTTCTCTCGGGACTTGTATTAATTCGAACTTTTCCAATCCTTGTATGAGGTTCTGAATTTCTTCGACATATCTCGACATTCTTTCTTCCTTAATATAGAAGTTTCCCAACACTTGTCCGACGACGAGTTGTGAGTCGGAATGTGCTGCGATTTCTGTTGCTCCGCCGCCGATCGCCAGTTGTATTCCCTTGATAAGCGCCTCGTATTCGGCTTCATTGTTTGAGGCCTTGAACCCCATTCTAATCGCGAAGTCGAGTTGTTCGCCCTCGGGGGACACGAGGACGACTCCCAAACCGGATCCCTTCGCGGCCGAGGACCCGTCGACATGCATCGTCCATTTCTTCTCCTTTCCTTTGGTTCCTTCTTGGATAAAATCAGCCAAGGCCTGGGCTTTAATGGCTCGCCTGGGCTCGTATCTGATAGAATATTCACTTAGCTCGATTGCCCACTTCACGAGTCGACCTGAGACTGTAGGTCGACCCAACGTTTCTCCTAACTGAAAGTTCGTTCTCACCACAATCGCATGATTTAGAAAATAAGGTCTTAATTTTCTGGCTGTTATAATTAGTGTCAGGGCGGCCTTCTCGACTTCTGGATATCTCATCTCTGCACCTTGTAATACTCGACCAGTGTAATAAATCGGCTGTTGGGAACTTTCGTCTTCCCGCAGCAACACTGAGCTCAAAGCGAATTCGCCCACCGAGATATACAGAATCAACTCGTCACCTGGTCGCTCAGGAACTCTTTCAACTTCTCAAAGGCCATTTGTGCTTCGTCACTCCACTTGAAAACCGTCTTCTTCTTAAGTAGTTTGAAAAAAGAGAAACTCTTCTCGGCTGCTCGAGCAATGAATCTGCTCAAGCCTGCGATCCTTCCTGTTAGCACCTGGACCTCCCTGATGTTTCGTGGTGGGGCCATGTCGAGTATGGCCTTCACCTTATCTTGGTTTACCTCAATTCCGCGCTCTGTGACAACATATCCCAAATATCGTCCCGCCTTCACTCCGAAGGCACATTTGCTCGGGTTCAACTTCATCCAAATGTCCTAAGGGTGTTGAAAGTTTCCCTTAAGTCGGTTGGGTGTGAAGTTGAGGACTTGCTCTTTACCACGATATCGTCCACATATACTTCCACATTCCGGCCGATCTGAGGTTCAAACATTCGATCCATCAATCGCTGGTAGGTTGCTCCTGCATTCTTGAGGCCAAAGGGCATGACGACATAGCAGTATGTCCCCATGCTCGTCACAAAACTTACTTTACTCTGACTTCCGGTGCCAAGGGAATTTGGTGGTATCCCTGAGATGCGTCCATCATGCTCAACAACTCGCAGCCAGCTGTGGAGTCGACTAGCTGGTCAATTCTAGGCAAAGGATAATGATCTTTAGGGCACGCCAGGTTCAA